CGGGTCAGTGCGGCAGAGCACGAATCGGGCGGCAGCAGAGCTCGAATCGGGCAGGCAAAGTCCAGCCGAAATGCGGCGGAGCGCTGGCGGAAAGGGTGGCGGCGGGGGGGTGGGGAGGTCGGATTTGTCGGCGACGGGGAACGGTGGGTCGGCGGCGCGGCAGTGGAACAAGGTAGGCGGCCGGCCGGTCGGGGGAGGGGAGGGGAAATTTCAAGGTAGTTGGGTTCACGCGCGGCTGGCCGTTTACATCTGGGTTTACATCTCTGGCGGTTGGAGGTGTAAATTTGCAACGCGAGGTGTTGTATTTAGTATTTTACATCTCCGGGAGGCGGAGATGTATTTTTTTTGCATCTACATCATCTATTGGAGCGTAACCCTCTCAGCGAGGCGCCACATCGGAACCCGGGTGTGGTGGAAAATGGGCAAGGGCCGGGCCGTCACCACCTAAGTGGCGCGCCGTATCGTGATCCGGATACGGTGGCAAGTGAGCGAGGATCGGGTCGTCGCATCCTTAGTGGCGCGCTACATCAGCGCCCGGATGTAGTGGAAAATGAGCAAGGGTCTTCGCATTTGACTCGACAAGTGCGAAGGGCAAGGAAGCTAGCCGAGCCTAGGAGGATTTGCTTAGGTAGCTAGTTGATACAGCAGTGAGGAGAGGTGTGGATATCCTTTGCGTCCAAGAAACCAAATGGAGGGGACAGAAGGCGAAGGAGGTGGAGGATACCGGCTTCAAGCTGTGGTACACGGGGACGGCTGCAAAAAGAAATGGCATAGGCATCTTGATCAAAAAGAGCCTCAAGTATGGAGTGGTAGGCGTCAAGAGACGTGTGGGCCGGATTATCCTTGTCAAGCTGGTAGTTGGGGACTTAGGCGCTGTTTGGTTGCCGTCCTGACCAACGTGCCTGATAAATTCGAGCGCTTGGCTCGGGCCTGGGAAACAACAATTTTATGCCTGGCCAGGCAGACCCTGTTTGGTTCGCCTCCACGCCTGGTGATGGGTTACACAGGTCACATCAGCCTATTAATTTACTTTTCCTTCTGCCATGCATGATTAGTACTCCCAGGCAGCACCCAGGCGTTCCTTCTCGGTAGCCTGAGCCAGGCTAATGGCGCTGGGATATTCCCAAGACAGGCTAGTGATGTCATTTTAATTTCTAGGCCAGGCTAGCTTCATGTACTCAGGCACGAACCAAACAAAGTCCAGGCTGATCTCAGGGAGGTGTCAGGCCAGGCAAATTTGTTCCAGGACACAAACCAAACACCCTCTTAGTTCTCAATGTTATCAGCGTGTATGCCCCGCAAGTAGGCCACAATGAGAACACCAAGAGGGAGTTCTGGGAAGGCATGGAAGACATGGTTAGGAGTGTACCGATTGGCGAGAAGCTCTTCATAGGAGGAGATCTTAATGGCCACGTGGGTACATCTAACACAGGTTTTGAAGGGGCGCATGGGGGCTTTGGCTATGGCATCAGGAATCAAGAAGGAGAAGATGTCTTAAGCTTTGCCCTAGCCTAGGACATGATTGTAGCTAACACCCTCTTTAGAAAGAGAGAATCACATCTGGTGACTTTTAGTAGTGGTCAACACTCTAGCCAGATTGATTTCATCCTCTCGAGAAGAGAAGATAGGCGTGTGTGCCTAGACTATAAGGTGATACCTGAAGAGAGTGTTGTACCTCAGCATAAGCTGGTGGTTGCTGACTTCTGCTTTCGGATTCGTGTCCAGCGGGGTAAGCGTGCCAAAGTCGCTAGAACGAAGTGGTGGAAGCTCAAGGGAGAAGTAGCTCAAGCGTTCAAGGAAAGGGTCATTAAGGAGGGCCCTTGGGGGGAAGGAGGGGATGCGAACAATGTGTGGATGAAGATGGCGACTTGCATTCGTAAGGTGGCCTCGGAAGAGTTTGGAGTGTCCAAGGGGAGGAGAAGCGAAGATATAAGGATACCTGGTGATGGAATGATGTTGTCCAGAAAGCGATTAAAGAGAAGAAAGATTGCTTCAGACGCCTATACCTAGATAGGAGGGCGGACAACATAGAGAAGTACAAGATGGCGAAGAAGGCCGCAAAGCGAGGGGTCGGGCATATGAGGACCTCTACCAATGGTTAGGCACAAAGGAAGGTGAAAGGGACATCTATAAGATGGCCAAGATCCGAGAGAGGAAGACGAGGGATATTGGCCAAGTCAAATGCATCAAGGCCGGAGCAGACCAACTCTTGGTGAAGGACGAGGAGATTAAGCATAGATGGCGGGAGTACTTTGACAAGCTGTTCAATGGGGAGAATGAGAGTTCTACCATTGAACTGGACGACTCCTTTGATGAGACCGGCACGCGTTTTGTGCGGCGAATCCAGAAGTTTGAGGTCAAGGAGGCATTAAAAAGGATGAAAGGAGGCAAGGCGATGGGCCCTGATTGTATACCCATTGAGGTGTGGAAAGGCCTCGGGGACATAGCGATAGTATGGCTAACCAAGCTTTTCAACCTCATTTTTCAGGCAAACAAGATGCCAGAAGAATGGAGACGAAGTATATTAGTACCAATCTTCAAGAACAAGGAGGATATTCAGAGCTATACTAATTACCGTGGAATAAAGCTAATGAGCCATACAATGAAGCTATGGGAGAGAGTCATCGAGCACCGCTTAAGAAGAATGACAAGCGTGACCCTAGGAGGTCGACCATGGAAGCCATTTTCTTGGTACGACAACTTATGGAGAGATACAGGGAGCAAAAGGACTTGCATATGGTGTTCATTGACTTGGAGAAGGCCTATGATAAGATACCGCGGAATGTCATGTGGTGGGCCTTGGAGAAACACAAAGTCCCAGCAAAGTACACTACCCTCATCAAGGACATGTACGATAATGTTGTGACAAGTGTTCGAACAAGTGATGTCAACACTGATGACTTCCCAATTAAGATAGGACTGCATCAGGGGTCAGCTTTGAGCCCTTATCTCTTTGCCTTGGTAATGGATGAGGTCACAAGGGATATACAAGGAGATATCCCATGGTGTATGCTCTTTGCGGATGATGTCGTGCTAGTTGACGATAGTCGGACGGGGGTAAATAGGAAGTTAAGAGTTATGGAGACAAACCTTGGAATCGAAAGGGTTTAGGCTTAGTAGGACTAAAACCGAGTACATGATGTTTGGTTTGAGTACTACTAGGTGTGAGGAGGTTAGCCTTGATGGGCAGGTGGTACCTCAGAAGGACACTTTTCGATATTTGGGGTCAATGTTGCAGGAGGATGGGGGTATTGATGAAGATGTGAACCATCGAATTAAAGCCGGATGGATGAAGTGGCGCCAAGCTTCTGGCATTCTTTGTGACAAGAGAGTGCCACAAAAGCTAAAAGGCAAGTTCTACATGACGGTTGTTCGACCCGCAATGTTGTATGGCGCTGAGTGTTGGCCGACTAAAAGGCGACATGTTCAACAGTTAGGTGTGGCGGAGATGCGTATGTTGAGATGGATGTGTGGCCACACGAGGAAGGATAGAGTCCGGAATGATGATATACGAGATAGAGTTGGGGTAGCACCAATTGAAGAGAAGCTTGTCCAACATCGTCTGAGATGGTTTGGGCATATTCAGCGCAGGCCTCTAGAAGTTCCAATGCATAGCGGACGGCTAAAGCGTGCGGAGAATGTCAAGAGAGGTCGGGTAGACCGAATTTGACATGGGAGGAGTCCGTTAAGAGAGACCTGAAGGATTGGGGTATCACCAAAGAACTAGCTATGGACAGGGGTGCGTGGAAGCTTGCTATCCATGTGCCAGAGCCATGAGTTGGTCGCGAGATCTTATGGGTTTCACCTCTAGCCTACCCCAACTTGTTTGGGACTAAAGGCTTTGTTGTTGTTGTTGTTGTTGTACATCATCTATTGGAGAGGGGTTTTGGGGCCTCGGAGATGCAAAAGTTAGTTATTTTTGCATCTACATCATCTATTGGAGATGCTCTTAGTGTGCTAAATAAAATATAATGCGCTATTTTCTCCATTGTACCGTATGCCTTCTGTTAGTCACAAGTTCACTAATGGTAGCTCATTGTATAATATGTCCTCATCTCTATAAGTAGGTTGTTTCCTCTACTATTGGGCATGCCCTAAGCATATTACAACCATATACATGCAGGTGCAAACTTACTCGGAAGGTTTGCAACATACTAGCAATGATGACAGTAACAAAATCAACTGTGGCAGAAGATAAAAACAGAAAAGAATTGCTGGTACCCCACAGCTCCCAAACTAATCCACCTTTCAATACTCCTAAATACATGAATGATTGATATTAACATAAGGGAATAGAGTTATGAGCCATGACCACCATTATGTAGGAATGGAGCTGTGTGACAGGGCTTCTGATTTGTCTTCAATTTAGAATTTCTCTGGTTCATAGACTCCACTAGCGAAAAAGGTGGCACATGAAACAGTGGATGCTTTTGACTGTCGTGCTATGCATCATAGCGGGCGCTATCACTAAAACTGGATCATGATCTACCATTCAAGCTATTCATGTATTAATGATATACTCCTTTTGTCATGATATAGTACCATTCAAGCTATTCCTGTATTAATGATATACTCCTTTTGTCATGATATAGTGGCTATCTTCTACTCCCTCTGTAAACTAATATAAGATCTTTTAGATCACTACTTTAGAGATCTAAAAGATCTTATTATTAGTTTACACAGGGAGTACCTTTTGTTTATTCTTCAATACCTGACATACAGATCAAAGAAAGTACATCATAAGTTAATAAGTTGATATTGGTAGTGCCATCGAAATGAACACTTTACGGATTTGGTTGTCCAACACATCAATGATTTCTTCCTCTCTACCATCAAAAGTAAGTTTTTTTTTTACTTCAATTATAAAATGCAGAAAGGAGTCTGCAAGGTAGTACTTTGAGATTCTACTTAGATTTATTAAATGCAGAAGAGAGTATGCAAGGTGGACACAACCCCAAATCTCCATTTCACTAATAATGGTTTTCTTTTTATCATAGTAACCAGAGATGTTAACAGCCAAAATCTTTTCAATGATTCCAGGAATAGTCAAGAAAATAGTTGTTGTCCTTCCAAATTATCATCCTGATTAGGACCCACCATAAGACATTGATTATGACCATGCAGAGAACATGCACAGTACACAAGCCAAAAAAAAAAAGAGCAACAGTCTGCATAGGTGCTGATGAACACAGGACAAATGAGTCGATGAGATACAAATACCTGGTGACACTCATGGGGAACTTGATGGGGAGAAAACTCTTGAGTTTACAATACTTGAATTCATACATGTCGGCGTCTTCTCCCAAGCGGTCTTCAGCTTTTATATACGGATGAGTTGACAGCAGTGCCTTGGTCTTCATATCAACAGTAACCACCGAAATCTTGTAATGGCCATCATTCGTGGCCTCAGAGTACAGAAAGTGTACCACATGGGCATCGTCCATACTCACAAGAGGGAATTTCAGAATACTGAAGTCATAGCGAGTGCGAACAGAAGGCAACACTGGATCTGAGTGCATAATATCATCCTGGACCCACCCCATGTCTCCATCCTCTGTTATCTCCAAAGTATGGGAGGTTATGGTGTAACCAGAATCAGATGGGCCAACAAGCTCTCCATCAATACGGTCAACATGAACAAACTTGAGCAAACGACCTTCATCGGTGACAGACACCCCGCGGTACATTTGTAAGTATCCTCTGCCAACAGGTGGATGGTCAGGGGGGGGGCCCTGAACAGGTGGTAAATCAAGGTAAGAGATATCAGGCCTTCCTTTGAAGGCATCAAAGAATAAGATACCTCCCATGCAGTAATCAACCCAGCAAATATAATTCTTGAAAGATATCACTGTATCAGTTGACCATGGAGAGATATCCAACTTTTCACGGTTAGGATGGAGGATCGGTAGCCGCTTAACCTCCCACATGGCATCATCATCTTTGCCATCGGTGTTGAGCACAACAATTTCAGCTTCAGACCTGTTGCTGTCTGAAATTGGAATAAGTTGGTCCAGCTGCGCCACAGCAAACACTTGTTCATCGCGGCACAAGAGACCAGCATCCCCTGGGAAAAACAGGCGCTGCAGAGTTATCTCTGCCCCATCCACCTTACGTGCGATGAGCGGCTCGGTGTGTGCCGGAAGCCGTTTGAGAAGCGGCGGCAGGTCCCGTGAGATGACACTGCAGATGAAGGGATCCTGATAGCACCGCAGGTTGGACGTCTCGTGCGACCTTAAGAAGTAGGTGATCACAAACAGAAAGTGGTTGCCGTGCGCCGCCAAGATGTCGCACGCGGTATCTGGACTCGCATCGCTCGGAGACAGCACATAGAGGCGGGAGGTGTCTGGGGGATCGGCGAGGCAGAGTGCGATGTCGAAGTTGACGCCCTGGGAGGTGGTACCTTGGGCCCTCAAGGGCCGATAGCCCTTCTCCGGCAAGGATGTGTTGGCGCCCCTGATGAAGACGAAGCCATCTAGCATCACCCAGCCGGGGCGGACGTCGGTCATGGCGGTGGATCGGTGGGGATGGTGGGGTATTAGGGTTTGAGAGGCGGATGGATGTCTGCGGGAAAGATGAAAGGGGATCGAGATGTAGTTAGGTCTGGAAACGGATGTCTTCGTTTAGCCAGGAGCCCAGGACGAAGGTGTGACGGGATTTTGGGCTACGACCTGGCCAAATGGCCCGACCCGGCCTGGCCAGGATTATACAGGCCAGGCACGGCAAGCACACGGGCCTTCATTTCTATTTTCTTTTCTCAGCTTTCACTGGGTTTTTCTTTCTTTCTCCTTTTCTATGATTTCTTTTGGTTTCTTTCTTTCTTTTCTCGATTTTCACCTATTTTTTCTTTCTTTTTTCGTTTTTATTTTGGTTTTTATTCATTTATTTTGGGTCTTCTTCTGGGTTTTCACGGTTTCCTTTGGGTTTTTCGTTTTCTTTGTTTCTGAGGTGTTTCTTTCTTCCCTTTCTTTGGATTTCACCGCTTTTTCTTCGTCTTCTTTCTTGATACATGCATACATTTTTTTCATACACGTTTGTACATTCTGCGTATGCATCATGAACATTTTTTTACTTTCTTAACATTTTTCAAATAAATGATTACCATTTAAAAATTATGTTTGATGACTACTTTATCCATATACATTGTACTTTTTTGGTATACATCAGTAGTATTTTTAATGCATGTCTAACACTTTGGAAATGTATGATTAACATTTTTATACATGATTAATGCTTTATTAAAAATTTATGCTTTTATGTTAAAAAATATTAATACACATTTTACATTTTTTGTATACATCAAGAAAAAAATATGTTTACACGTTTAATATTTTGAAAACATACTATTAACATTTTTATTTAAATTATGCTTAATGACTACTATTCCATACACGTTGTACTTTATGTATATATCAATAACATTTTGGTACATGTTTAATATTTTTTAAATATATGATAAACTTTATTTTATACCCGGTCATGCTTTTTAAAAATATTAAGTTTTATGTTCAAATTACTTAATACACATTGGGAAAAAAATTGTATACATCAAGAACTTTTTTGTGTACACATTTAACATCTTTTAAATAGGTGATTGACACGTAAAAATATATGTGTTCGATGACTACTTTTTTCATACGCATTGTATATTTTTGGTATATGAACATTTTTTGTACACGTTTAACATTTAAAAAATATATGATTAATTTATTTTCGATACATGTCTGATTTAGTTGAGGTCTCGATAAGATCTGACTTGGGTATGAGTAGTGGAAACAAGAAAAGTTTGAATTTATTGAGATTTTGGGAGGATTTTATTTGATTGATTTAATGCATGATTTGGTTTTGTGCCGATTTGATTCAAATTATTACTTACGTTGGTTTTTGTTTTGTGTGCCATTAATTTATCATGACTTTCCTTTTTAAGATATTGATCATTACTATCCTACTTGGCTACTCATGAAATAAATTGACCATGTGTATTCCTTTCTTCTCATGCAATATTGTAATAATTTAAATCCTAGGCAAACGCAATGCCTACTCTAAGGGCGTGGCTAGCGCGCGCGTCCTAGGAGGCGCGGTCGATTTCCAACCACAGCAATCCGACAGCAAACGACAAGTTTAGCGATCAGGCTCCCACCTCCTATTCTCTTTCGCGGACGAGGCTCCTCTGACGTACTGCAGGGTGCAGTTGGGCCACTGACAGGTGGGCCCGAAAGCAAGTTGGTCCACCTGTCAGTGACCCAACTGCGTCCTGCAGTACGTCAGGGGAGCCGAGTCCCCCTTTCGCGACCGATTCAGGCCTGGAGTGATCCTGTTTTCGTGAGTTGGTCCCAGCCTCGGCCCAGTAGCTACCTAGGTTCTATTCCCTTTCCACGTTTTTTAGTTTGGCCTGTTTTTTCCTATTCTGCTAATTCCCTTTCTAGGCCAGCGGTTTTTCAAGGATAGTAATGGGCGGGAAATCTTACTTTCAACTGAAATTAGCTAGCACTTTCAACTAAAATAAATTGCTACTTCTTAACAGAAAATCAAATTAGCCTATCCCTCTCTTCCCTTTCAATTAATTTTTCCTAGAAAAATATTTTTATCACCAAGAAATAGAATACTCAACTAAAATTGATATACAACTTTTTGATTGAACCAGGAATATTCATTCAATTGATTTACTATAAACAACTTTTCCAATTAATGACAAACTTTCCAAAGCGACAACATATTATTAAAAACATAAACAACTTTTAAATTTGTGAATTTTCTGAAAATCAGGAATATTTTTTGACAGATACCATTGGCGTCACGTGCTCGTTTCGGCGTCCGTCGTCGCTACCACGACGACGTCCGCCTCGACTCGCATAACTCTAAGATAGACAAGGTGGCACTGGTGTCACGTGCTCGTCTCGGCGTCCGTCGTCGCTACCGCGACGACGTCCGCCTCAACTCGCGTTACGCTAAGACAGGGTGGCACTGGTGTCACGTGCTCGTCTCGGCGTCCGTCGTCGCTACCACGACGACGTCCGCCTCGACTCGCGTTACGCTAAAAAAGGGAGGCAGTGCTGTCACGTGCTCGTCTCGGCGTCTGTCGTCGCTACCGCAACGACGTCCGTCTCGACTCGCATTACGCTAAGACAGGGTGACACTGGTGTCACATGCTCG